TTCTTTTCATCTGTCTTCTCTTTTTTTGGCTCAGTGACAATTTGCACTGACTTATCTTCAGGGCCCAAAATCATTTCCCCAGTTTCTTCATTAGCAACAAACTCCACCTGACACCAAGTACCATTTCCACTGGACTCAATAATAGCATCAAGGACAGTTCTGGTATAAAGGCCTGCAATTTGTAACAAACATCATAGTATTAATCAAAAGTACCTATTAAGGATAAAGTTGTTCTCATTCTCTAATAATTCTGATCTTGTATTGAGCAAACAAGCCACATGCCAATTATAGAGGGCCACAAGTCTATTAGTTTTGACCATTTGGTATAAACCGTTTTATCGTTATTATGCCTTCATTAAAAAAAGTCTGCTCTTTTAACTATAATTTCTTCCCACAAGTTAAACAAAAATAAAATCAACCCACATGTTAATTGTGTTAGCAATTGACTTTTTAAAGTGTATAAGTTGCAATTGCTTGAAAAAGAGTCCTGCAACACACTGAAAAATTTAAGGGTGAATATTTTGCCAAGCTAATTGCATCTTACAAATACAATAACTTCTGCACAAAAACCATAAGAAATTTTGACCCTCAAATTCCTTTTTAACTGGCTCAATCCTCCTTCCTCCCTCCCTCTGTGCCATCTTCTCTACCCATGTATTATCCTGGATGTCTTACTAACCATCATGAAATGAAGCTGCACTGGAAAGAGTCTGCAGATCAGCTATTCTCCGATCATCTTTATCTATGGATTCTTCAAATGCTCTCTTTATCTCCGACACCCACACTTCAAGACCTGTCAGAAAGATACTGGGTGGTAGTTTCTCCACATTGAACACACCTGGGATGCGAGCTATGTCCCCATGAATGAGCTCTTCTTTGCCTCCATTCTTCATTCCATATAAACTACCATTTCTTGCGATCAGCTGCCCTTTAGTGCCGTATATAGTGACAGTTTGAGAATAGCGTCCTAGAATGTGGGTGTTAAGAGAAACTGTAGCAAAACCCCCTCCATTTAGTTTCATCTGGAAAGCTGTATAGTCATCGCTGGAGATATGACGAAAGCTTGAAACCTCATCTGTTTGAGAAATAAAGGTTTTTAGAGTACCATGAACTTCTACAGCTCTTTGATTGGTTAAGAAAGAGATGAGATCAATGATGTGAGCCCCAACATTGGTCAGCACCCCACCACCCATGGCCTGATCACACATCCAGGTGTAGCGGTTACTCAGCAATGAACCCATTTCAATCTTGCACTCACAAATGAATGGCTTGCCACAAAAACCTTCCTCTACATATTGTTTCATTTTAATAAAAGCTGGAAGAAACCTGAGCTCGTGTTTGACCAAGGAAAGTAGCTTAGGATAGTATTGTGCAGCCTGGACCATTCTCTCAGCTTCATCTTTGCTAAGACCTACAGGAGAATCGCAGAGGACGTGTTTTCCGATAGAGAGAGCTTTCACCGCCACTTCAGCTCGTACGTGAGGTGGGCAAAGCACACACACTAAGTCCACGTCTTCACGCAAAAGTAACTCGTCTATTTTGGCTGTATGGAACGGAACTTTAAACTCCTCCGCCATCTTCTTCGCTTGTTGTTTTGATGCACCCCATATTCCACTGACTGTAAAACCAGCTGAGCGTAAAAGTGGCAGAAGTATACGAGACGAATTCCCTGTATCAACGACACCGACTGAAGGAAGCATCTGGACCTGTAACAGAACTATCAGCGCGACGAAAAGAAAAGGTCGTTCACTGGCAGTTAACAGCAGCCATCTTATGTACTGCTCGGCAGAGACTGGGTAATAGTTTTTTTTCTTCATTTTCATTTACCCTCCCCTCCCCGCCCCAATAATTTTTTTTTTTCTAAATAATTATGGAGGACTTTCTCAGGATTTCTTTTCTAATCCTTTATGATATTAGCCCAGCTTGGCTGAACAAAAGCGTTTTTAAAAATTCTGGTCCATCTTATGAAAAGAGTAGACTCGATGTGAAAAAATATGATTAATAATGTTTCGATTCAGCGTTTGGTCGGCGTCTCACACTTTTGAAAGCGCCACAACATTTACTGATATTTTGTGGTGTTTGTTCCAAATTACTCTACTGGCCAAATTTACTTTTAGCGAGAAACATTTTGACAGAAATTTCCGGAAGTCGTTTGGCTGGAGCGGTTTGCCGAATCCTCTCCCCAGACCTACTCTGTTTGACTGCCGAGTTGCATTGAAAAAAAAGAAAATAATAATAAAGGCTACGTCAAATGAAGCGAATCGACCTCTCAACCAAAATGTTACAATCTAACCGATATTTTTTGCGGTAATTACTTGGTCTTGATTGAACTATGTCCGATGCATAATTCAAGGTTAGGTGATGGCAAGACGCTTTGCCGGACAAAGTTCTTTTTCTCCTCTTACGAATTATTGTGAAATTGCTAGAATTTGTTTCGAATTTCCAACTATTCCAGGTTGTGACACCATTCTACGAGGTATTGCCAAAACAGGAACAATCAAATAAGCAAATATCCCTCTTGCATTGACTTGACCCTACAGGACCGGAGCAAAGGGAATTTCGAAATAAACACTCAACTGATCACGTGCAGTGTTTATCATTGTGAAACCACTGGTGGAAAGTACAAACTAGCCGGTTCTCAGGTGATTTACATTGTTGAGCATATGTACTGTTCTTCACTGGTCCTCGCAATACTTGTGGGTATCTCTTTAACCTGGTTTTTTGGTACACAGAAGGATAAAGAATTGTTGATAAAAAGTAAGTGGGCTGTTGAAGAAGCTTTTTACTCTCGTCCTTGTGAGGTAGCCAATCTTCCGGCCTCCCAGTAGCGGCCTTATTCAGTTCCAAGCGCGTCATACGAAATTTTCTCGTCAAAATTTCTTAAACGGTCATAGTCGAATACCTCTTGGAGAAATTGGCGCTCTATGGAGTTCATGCATTCATCAAACGTCGCTTTGAACATTTCACCCTGTGCATTATTATTTTTCCTTTTCCTACAATTCAAACGAAAGGGAAATAATTTTGGCGTTTTTCTCTTGTTCTGTTTACTCTTGTGGTACATAATTTTAGCCAATTTTATTTCATACGAAAGTAAGGGAAAATTTGCTTTTAAAATTTCGTTTCATTTTAAGTTTCTCTTTTTTTGTCAACGGTGGAGTTGGACAAGATATTTTCTGGGATGTCGGATAATTGTACAGTGTTCGTTTCTCGATGAAGATGTTAGCATAAGAGAACAATGGAAGAATAGAAGTTGAAAATTTGCCTTTTCAAGATTTAAAAGTAAGACAGGTGTACAAATTTGCTATGTCCGCTCGCGATATAGAAGATGTGGAACTACTTTTCTGCAATAATTACGGTCCCTTGAACAGTCTACTTTGAACTAAGAGCGATTCTTCTCAGTGCTTTGTCGAGAAGAGAAGCATATTAGGTGTCATTGCGAGTACAAGATAAAGACATGAATATTGTTTACAAGTTAATTTTTGCACTAACGAGGCCAATATATACATCTTGTTAACCAAGCGCGAGGGCGGTACTGGGAGAATATTGGCCCGAGGTCTTGACAGTACCGAGTGCCGATATTCTCCCAGTACGGTCCCGAGCAAGCTTGGTTAATAAGAGATTTATTATACGACTGAAGTTCAAAGGGACACAAATCCGGTATCATTCGGGAGTGCCTGGGACAGTGCCCGGTCCAATAGTGAGAGAATATTGACCGGCAATAGAGCATTTTGATTGGTTGATTTTAGTTATTGGTGCTCTGACTGCCCGAGTCGTAATAATTAGCCTGATTGCCTGAGCAAGGTTGGCCAATAAAGAAACTGTTTTTAATCTACAGGTGTATGTATTTTATTATCATTATGTATATTTTTATGTTAATTATTATTATTGCGGGTAGACTCGAGGGAAAAATGGAGGGGTGAGGGTATGTCAGTGTATAGCCACACGGTATGCAGGAATTGCATCAACTTACTCGCCTAAGGAATCTGTATTTAAAAATAGATCAGCTTATTGTATAGTTTCAAAAACTCTTGTTTAAAGTGGCCTTGAACTGTATCAATATACTGACTCTAAAAAAAAATATATTTCAGTGGCAGCTCTTGTGGAATCCAACCAGACACGTGACCAAATGACTGAGTTCTGGAACAAACACTCTATGGCTCAAAGTGTTGAAGAAATGATGTTGGACAGTAAAGCAGAAACCTTGACGCAGGATGAGCACCCAGAAGTCATGGGAATGCTACCAAGCATCAAAGGAAAAGATGTCTTGGAGCTGGGAGCAGGGATTGGGTAATTAATGAAAATATTTTCCCATGAGGCTCTGCTTTTTAATGACTCAGGCTGGAAGTGTTGTGCTTGAATTAGGGCAGGAAGTAGGGTTGAATTTTCTTAACTCCTTAAGCTTTCATAATTAATCAACAAATAACTCCTCCCTTTAAAATTCATACATTATCCAGCAAACATGGAATAAGAATACTCAGTTATCTGGTGGACGTTGTCATTGTGATCGTATGCAAAATTTCTCGTAACTGATTAACAAGAAATATGTAGCAGCTAGAGGGGACAATCAAAAATCAGATCTGAGGAGTTAAAAGGTTAATAAAACTACTTTACTTTATGTCTCTAGAAGTACGACTTGCAAGAGGAGGCAGTTTTTGGAGGGAGGGGCCCCTATTAAGAAATAATTAACTTGTACTGATCAGGCTGTAGTTGAAGCTTAAAAATTTATAAATCAAGTGAAAATTACTGGTAAAGCAGCTTTTCCTTGTATCCCTACTGTTTAAAAGAAAGCGAGGGATAAGGGGAAAGTGTTTATGGTCTTGGGGGTGGGTGTTTATTTGGGTCAAGGTGCTTATTGGAGTGTTGGAAATTATTTGAGGAAATATAGTATTTTAATCCCTAAAATCATTGTCATATTTTTCTATGCAATGTTTGACTCTGAGTAAAATGTTTTTATGAAGGAATACAATTAATTTCTTTGCGTAATGGGATTTACTAACTTGAGAACTCTTGGTGGAATTTTGACAATGTCTTAATTACAAGAATTTGGAAAGTCATCAAACATTTTGGCACCTTGACAAAGTAAGAGAGCATCTTGCTTTCCTTTCCTTCCAGGTAGGAAATTGTAGGGGACTTCTGCAGGAATTAGAGCTACACTTAAAGTTAACTGACTCACCTTTTTCTTCTATGTCAGGAATTAAATCGTGATTCATGTTCTATTGTTATCATTTCATCAAGCATTGATCAGAGGAGCCTCTTGAAAACCACCTGTCTGGTGATAGAGGCTATCCTCCGTTCCCTGCGCTGCACTCAGAGTCAGTATGTACTTGACTGTTTGCTGACAAAGGTAAATATGTCATGGTACCAGTATCATCACATTGATGGTCATGGATGTTATTTCTTAGATATTAAAAAGCATGCCTAAATGAGATAATGGATCATATAACCTAGTAGTCAGTATGTGATTTTTGCTGAATCAAGATTTTTCAGTTTGGCGAAATTTGTGTACGTCATTTAATTTAGACATTCTATTATTCTTCAATTTGAAGTTAACCAAGGTTTGTATATTTAGAGAAAGAAAAATATTTCAATTAAGATATGTGAATGACTGTGACATCTTCAAGAGATAAATAAGTCCCCTTGGATATAAAAAAGAAATGATAACAACATAGGTTGATGTTTGTCTTCAGAGATCAAACCATGTATGTATGGAAAGAAGAATTTGTTCAGTAACAGATTCATGCAGTATGTTAGAAAGACCATGCACTGTGATCTTTGCCCCCAAGTTACAAACCAGTACAACTCCTAAATAGATAATTTGGTGAAACACAACACTTAATGAACATAACATTTTGTAGTATCTGCATTTACTGATTTGAAAAGAACTAATTGTGGGAATCAACTTGAAAACAATTTTGAGTAGACGTAGCAAACATAGAATATCTTTAAGAGAGAATTTAACTGAGTGATGTGTATGTGCCAGTAAAAATCTTTGGTAAACTGATTGATGATGAATTGTGACAATGTTCTCCTAACGGTATGTCACTATTATTGCAAGGAAAAACTTTGTCCCAAGTTTAACTTTTTCCATAGCAAGGCTACACTTGACTTGAAGCTCAATTTGACAATGATGTAATGACTAGGCCTTTTTCCTTTATTAACAGGCGTTTTACAGGAGATATTGCACAGGAAGCTCGTCATGTTACTGCTGTTGATTTCATGCAGTCATTTACGGACAAGAACAAGGAAGTAAATGGAACCAAGCACAATAACATTGACTTTGTTTGTGCTGACGTCACAAAGCTTGAATTGCCAAAAGAAAGGTAATTCATCTCACAGTGAAAGCATTTTTTATATATAATTTTGTAATTTTAAATTGTAGTGTGACATAGTTTGAATTTTTATTGCCCAACTAAATTTGTGAATATCTTTGGAAAATGGAAAATGGAAAATCATGGTAACCTTGAGTCAGTCATAAAGAAAAAAAAGCTTTTTTTTTCTGTCACTGGTTAAATGAGGTGAGATATGCTAATTGAGAAACAGGGCCAATTATGGGCTCTGAGTAGAGCTTTTTATTGTAGATGAAAATAAACTTTACCACTACATTTAGTCCTATAGAATTTAAAGAGCAATGTATTGGTGGGCCTAGAAAGTAAAGAATGCCGGTAAATATATTCATATAATTGCGTACATACCTCTTACTAAGCAAGTTCAAGGTTCATAGTGTAAGTTACTAGCAAAAAAACAAGGTCCTGCACTTACAGCATGAAGCAAGAAAATAATGTCAGGAAGATCTTTATTTGTCTGTGGGTTCAAAATACCGTATTTATTCGTCTATAAACCAAACTTGGCTATAAGCCAAGACCCTAAACTTTAGTCTGATTTAATCGAGAAGGTTCTCAAAAAAAGTAAATTGAAAATTCTTGGCTATAAGCCGAGACCATATTCAGAGAATTCCATTCTCAAACAAACTGAAATGAACGCAAAAGTTTTGAAACAGAAAAGTCAGTTTCAATGGGGTATTTCGGTCGAAAACAATTCCGAGATAACCAGAGAATTACATCATCAGTGAGCCTATGGTCCGCCGCTGGAGGAAAGATCAAGAGATCCTCTTTTAATGGAGATCTCAAGACATCAGCAAAACGTACAACAATGGCGGGCTGTTACACTCCGAAATATCTGCAGCTGGATGAGAGATTACTTGACTGGTTTACAGTACAGGGAAACCATGGTAAGTTTTCTTTTTACATGATCGCAAATTTCAACACCGTAGTACGTGATGAGTTTGTTTACCAATCGTGGGAATGGCCAATTCAGATTGGTCAGTTTCAAAATCATCAAAACACTTTCGCAAGATCTATACACTCATTCAAAACCTGCTGAATCTTTAACACTCTAGATGGCAGGGAAGATGAAGCAATCTACTAGGAAGAAACAGCAGAACTAGCGGATGAGGAGGGGATGAACGACAAATTCAACAACAACACTGAGGACAAACAGTGAGCCATATTTACCACGCGCTGAAAACAACAAACGGTTCCTTTAGAAGCCACCACATGAATAAAAGTCAACGACCAACTTCAACTTGTTTCATTGTTTATTTCTGCATGCAGTATCTCGGCTTGTAGATGAATATATCTGTTTCCTTTGAATTTGCTGTTTCGGAAAAATTGTGTTGGGAAAAAAACTTGGCTATAAGCCGATAACCCTTCTCTAGCTCCAATTTTTGAGATTTTGGTAAAGTTTTGTAAAAAAATCACTTGGCTTATAGACGAATAAATACGGTAATAGAGAAGAAAAGACTTCTGATCAGCAAAATACAGCTCACTGGATTGATCAATCATAGCACATATAGAGATAATTGAGAGAAAACTAATATAAAGAAATGAGCTTCCGAGCATTTACCACTATTCTTGTTTCAGCTATGATGTAATTTTCTCCAACTGGCTTCTGATGTACCTGTCTGATGAAGAACTTGAAAAGCTGGCAATGAACATGCTCCAGTGGCTAAGAGATGGCGGCCACCTTTTTTTCCGTGAGTCTTGCTATCATTCCTCAGGGGACATGAAAAACTCAGAAAATCCCACGGTGTACAGGACTCCTCAAATGTACACTGAAGTATTTTCTGCTGTCAAAGTGAGACTTCCCAATGGTGGTGTCTCTTCCCTGGAAGTGGTGACCAAGCGTTCAGTGGAGGCATATGCAAAGGTAAGCCCAGTCAGTAGATTAGTAATAAAAGGGTTTATGTTAAATTTGATTCTTTGAGGGCATTCATATGTCAAACAGTCAGTGCTATCAACTAACGAAGGGTGTAAAATTTGGAAGTCACTTTTCCTCGAATTGCTTTGGGTGGAAAGAGTGATCATCAGTTAGCACAAGCTGCTAAAACACTAGAACTTAGTTATCAGGGAATTTAGCGAAAATCAGAAATTGGAGAACTCTTCATCCACAAAGCAGAATTTTCTTGTCAAATCTATTAGCCTCAGACCTGTGGAATATTTTCCTTTTTCTTTACACCATTCTCTTGCTTTACATTTTTCAATAAAAACCCTGAATTGTGCTACTCTCTCTGGTGAGTAGGGATTAACATGAAATCTACTATCCCTGGATTGATTATTGAACAGTTGCAAGGTACTCTAATGCATTTTGAAGGTTCCTTAAACCTCTCACCAGTACCTATTTACATTCTATGTTGGATAGGAGCAATGAGATGGTAAACATTCATGCCAAGAATGCAAAATTCTAATCCTGGTATGCAGTACCTGATCCCAAACCTCAGAATCCAAGATTCCAGTACATCTTGTTTCAGCCAGTATTTCACCATTACTTTTGATATAAGATCCTGCGATATTTTGACTTTAATGTTGGCCTGCTCCTGATCTAGTTAAATTTATTTTGTAGCACAAGCAAAACAAGCACCAGTTTTCCTGGTTGTGGAAAAAGGTTTCATTAAAAAATGGAAGCAAAGGAACCTTGCAGGAATTTCTCGACAACAATCAGTACAACAAGGCAGGGATCCTCATGTACGAAAGAGTGTTTGGGAAAGGTTTTGTGAGTCCTGGAGGGATGACAACAACAAAGGTATGAAAACAGACATTGAAAATTTGAGGTGATATATCTTCATTTTACAGGGTAGCAGCTTTCTATACATAAATGTGTTCAAAACCTTGACAAATCTTTGATCTTTACCTCATTTTGTGTTTCAAGGAATTTGTTGGTCGACTAAATCTTCAAAAAGATCAGCATGTCCTAGATGTGGGGTGTGGCATAGGTGGTAGTGCCTTCTACATTGCTGATGTGAGTACCAGCTGCAGGATTTCGGAGTGGTTTTTTTTTTTTTTGTAATGGTTTGTTTTTCACAAAATTTAGGGAATTGCTATGCATATGAGTCACAGCTGTCTTATATAATGACATCATTTTGTTTCAGACATACCACGCCCATGTTCTTGGTATGGACCTGTCTACAAACATGATCAACTTTGCACTTAAAGCATATGAAAGCTCTAAAAGTAGCCAGGTGTGCGGAGAGAAGGAATATTTTTTCTTTTGCCAATCTTAAAATATTTTTTTTAATTTGGTTAAAAATAATTTTCATGTACTGTATTGAACAGGTCCAATTTGAAGTAAGTAATGCCTCAACGAGAGAGTTCCCAGCTGAAAGTTTTGATGCAGTTTACAGCAGAGAGACCATTCTTCATATAAAGGACAAGAAAGCCCTTTTCAAGAAAATTCTGGTGAGACATACATTTCTTATTGTTTCTAGTCTTCTATGCTGTCAAGGGAAATATCAAAATATATTTCTCCTGTTAGTCTTGGGTAGTGCTAGCCACTGTGGTAAGCATGTATCACTGCAAAAATTTCAATGTAGTATTAGTGACAAGGAATCAATAACATTGCGTGATATATTTGGGACTTCTATAGTTTTGTGATCTCTTGCAGTAGACTTGAAACAATTAAGCCCTCTTGACACAACTTTCATTAGCCAAGGTTAGATACCCCAACAGTTAATTTGGACATCATCTCACAATTTTCCACTGTGGATCTGGTTAATAATCTTTCTTTCCTTTTTGCCATGCAATTGAAGTAACTGAGTTTAGAGAAAATGATTATAATATATCATCACGACACTCTCCAGCTGATAAATTCTTGTTCTCATCACCTGTTTATTTTTTAATCTACTGATGCTGTTAAAGTGAAGTCTGTTTACAAGCCTAGTGGCCTATTAAGCCAGTGCTTAACTCCGGTTTCTGTAGCATGAAGCGATTATGAGTATTTCTACTCCCCCCTGGATGGGATGCTAGTCCATCACAGGGTTACCCCCAACATTAAATTGCCGGTACCCATTTATACACCTGGGTGAAGAGAGGCACTGTGAGAGTAAAGTGTCTTGCCTAAGAACACAACACAACGTCCCAGCCGGGGCTCGAACCCAGACCACTCGATCTGGAGTCGAGCGCACTAACCATGAGGCCAACGCATACTGATGCTGTTAAGATAAGAATTCATTGTTGAGGTTAGGTTAAGAAGTAATAGATAAATAGCTTGTTTTAGCCATTCAGTTAGTTAACAATGCAACAGGTGCACAGAGAGGATATTGCAACCCAATTACCTACTGCACACTTGAAGCAAACCACACTGTTAGTGGGAAATCATACAGTAACTGCACAAAACAACACATGCACCTTGGTTGCAAAGTCTTCTATTAGCAAAGATGCAAAGTAACTGTTTTATTTTACAACAGAATTGGCTCAAGCCTGGTGGACAGTTATTGATCACAGATTACTGTTGTAGTCCAGGGGAACACTCAGAAAAATTCAAAAAGTACCTTGCAGAACGCCAGTACTACTTGATCGATGTTGAAAGCTATGGAAAGGTGAGTGTGTTGAAAAACATTAGCATTTTGGCTCGGTTTTCTTGGGGGAGTTACAAAGGAGAGCCTGTTACAATTGTTTTCATCAAAAGAGAGAAACAGTCAAATAAAATCCTCAGCACTGGAGTTGTAAAATAATCAGGCCTAGCACACTCAAAGAAAGTTAAAATTATGAAAACATAAATGGTCAATTTGCTGGCACATGATTTGTTGGCAGCCAAGTGCAGTGGAGAGAAATTAATTTATATCTTTCATCACTTAATACTCTGTCAGAATCTTTTTGCAGATGTTATGTGAAGTTGGATTTGAGGCAGTCGCAGCTGAAGACAGAACAACACAGTTTGCGCATATCTTAGAGAGTGAACTGAGGAATTTTGAAAAGTCAAAGGAGAGGTTCATCAAGGTAATTTGATTGCTTCTTTGTTGTTTTTACTACAAGAATCATAGTTTGTTCAAAATAAAAAATGAAAAAAGGTCTGGGATGTTGAAGGAGGTAATGCAGATTTATTTTTAAAAGACAGTGGAAAATAAAACTCTACCCACTTAGTCCAGGGGTTTCAATAAAGAATGGTTACGACTAGTATATGGCCACCTGTAAGACATCTTACTAGTCTTTTTGGCTTGGGAGCTGGTTCGTGTATGTGGGTTTTGCGTTGTCTCCTTTTTGTGCACATGCAGCCTCCTATAACACCATCTACAGCTGCATATGGAAAAAGTTATTGAAACCCTTGCCCTCCCCCTCAATCTCCTCCACATCTCCATCCACATTACACTTTGGAATTTTTTTTTTTTCCATGTGCATTTTTGTGACTTTTGCTTAATATGCTTTTAATCTAGGATTTCTCAAGTGAAGACTACAGCTCTTTAGTGAATAGCTGGACGAACAAACTGACCAGATGTAGAGGTGGTGAACACACTTGGGGAGTTTTCTATGCCAGGAAGCCAGTCAGTTCATAATAAGACAGACGTGTTCATGCTATCAACATGGTTTTGTCTGGATTGAGATGTAGAAGATCCATAGCAATCACTTGTTGCAACCTAATATGAAAACCAAAAACTGTGTTCTGATAATCATAGAGGTACCCCAGAGCCTCTCAGTATTAGCCTATTCAAGTGGGCTGGCTTTTTTGGTTTTGTTCACATGACTCCATCTCACTGCTCGTTTTGACGATAATATTTGGTCTGAGTTTGTGGGAAAGCCCACCATTAAATTTTGTTGTGATGATCTCTGAAATGGAGCTAGAAAATTTTCACGTGATGTCTCAAGCTTTGTTTCCAATATGGCTGGTGGTTCTAGTGGTTATTTACTGTTAATCTTGTTGAAATTTCTTAAATGAGTTCTTCAAGAAGGCTGTAAAATTGACCTTGATTGGCTTATTCAGTCTCGGTTGGTCTGTGGAAACAATTGTAATAGCTAGTGCAGTAGTTGTTGAGGGCAACTCTTAATACTGCAACCAGTTTTTCTGTCCAATTTTTTTCTTCTCATCTCCAAATACAAAGTGTGTGTCAGGCTAGGCCTACTAGGCATATTAAAACTTCCTACAGAAACAGCCTGGCCCAGTGATCAGGCTTGTACATAGCGGCCCCAAGATAAAGATGTCCTCCAAACAAACTACAGGTTTTCTTTCCTCACCTCTCAACACTTCCTCCATGGCTGATTACAGTGCTCTTAGCTGGATGTGGGGCCAGCAAATGACATTTATTTCATAAAGATTTTCATATAAATGAAGAGACCTTTTTATGCATAACTTCAAACAGAAGTGTAGTTTGACAGTAAAAAGGTCATTTCCGAATTACGTTTGGCCTGTTTTTCAAAACGAGGCCTGGTGCTTAACCATACGTATGAAAATGAGTTTAATTTGCATGTGAATGAAAACTTATTACCAGACGAAAAGATGAGCACCAGGACTCGCTTTGAAAAAGAGGCTAAAGGCAATTCGGAAATGGGCTATTGATAGACATAGTGAGAGATATTTTTTATACCAAAAATAAGTTTAAAAAAACGTAAAACCTATTGACCTCGTGGCATTAGTATTAGTTTATTTCATTAAAATGTGTGCTTCCTGTTTTGTTAATGGTGTTTTGTTGTCTTTATGAATAGATCATATGATTTCTTGAAAAGTAATTAAGGGAGAGCCTTGAGGTAGCTGCGAAAGTAAAAGCGTTCTTTCTTGGTGGTGTGAAACCTTGGAGTACCAAGAGTGAATTTGCCTTCAAAGATGTTCAAAATCTGTGTGGGGTCATTTATTTTTGAAATGTTCAGCTAGCAACCGTGGATGATAATCCTACTCTTGTAAGTTGGATCAGCAGTGATCTAATCGGCCCAAAATAACGAATATAAATGTGGAGACAAGATCGATACAACGTAGATAAGATTTAAAACGGAGCACTATATTTCGGCTGGCCGAAATATGGACACAACTTGGTACATCGATGAATGCAACATACAACTTTCTGACACTAAATTTTATAAACGCTTGACCAGTGATATCACTGCTGATATACAAAAACTTGTTACCTTTTATGTTGACAGGGATGCTTAAAGACAACCTTATCAACGAAACAACAAAACAATACCTCTTACAGACAGACGTAAGACCAGGACGAATTTACATTTTACCCAAGATACACAAACCCGGTACAATTCACGACGCGCTATTGTCTCATCCAATAGCCATCCCACTCAACGGATATCCCAGTTCGTTGACCACTACCTAGAACCACTAGTTCACAAACTACCATCTTACATCAAAGACATCAATGACTTCCTCAACAAAGAGTTTAGCATTGGTAATTTGCCCCTTAACTCTTCACGAGTTACACTTGATGTTTCATCACTCTACACCAATATTCCACATAACGAAGGTATTAATGCTTGTTACCATTTTCTGTGTACCTCCTCCCATACCACTATTCCTACCGTCACACTCTGTGACCTCATTTGTATGATTCTCACCATGAACAATTTTACTTTTCATGATAATCATTACCTCCAAGTTCACGGCACAGCCATGGGTACCAAAATGGCCCCTTCCTTCGCTAACCTTTTTTTGGGTCTTTCCGAAGCTAACGCTTTGAAAAATGCCCCACTTCAACCCCACACTTGGTTTAGATACATCGACGATATTTTTATGATCTGGACCGAAGGTTTAGATAAGCTGAAAATATTCGTCGATTATCCCAACAATATTCACCCCACCATCAAATTCACCAGCTCACACTCTTCCACTAACGTGGCTTTCCTTGACCTTAGTGTCTCTAAGCACCTACTGTAATATCTCCACTGACCTCTACACCAAACCCACAGACAAACGCATGTACTCTTCTTGCCATCCATTACATACTAAAAAAGCCATTCCGTTCAGTCTAGCCCTCCGCCTACGACGTGTCTGTTCTATAGACAAAGCTTTTAAGACTCGCGCCGCTCAACTTACCACATATACCTTCTCAAACGAGGTTACAGCCATAAATTCGTCACCAAACAAATACAACGCGCCGCTGACATCCCCCGCACACTCACTTTCTTATAAACCAAAGACGTAAAAAAACCTAACCGTATTCCATTTATAACTACTTTTAATCCGTCGCTTCCTCATATCTCCAATAATATCAAAAAACAGTGGCATATGCTGCTGTCTTCTAACCGATGCAAAAAAGCTTTTCCTCAGTTATTGCCTTCAGTTATTGCCAGTTATTGCCTTCAGACGCTCCCCCAACCTTAATCGATTCAAACACACATTTTCGTTTTCGTCAAAGATACGTATATATAGGGCATTTATCATGCCTCACTTTACTTATTGTAGTCCCATTTGGAATAGTTGTCTTAAAGAAGATAGTGACCGATTATAGAGATTACATGAGAAGGCCCTTAGATACGTGTTTAATGACTTTACCAACAGATATGATAGTCTAAGTTATAAGATTGGTTACTCATTAAGTTATAGACGGAAACAAGATATGCTTTTGATAATTTTTAAAGCCCTCTATAACAATATGCCTCAGTATATTCAATCTTTATTTCAAGTAAGAGAAAGTAAGAAAAATCTTAGGGGCAAAAACAAACTTGTTTTACCCGAAGCTAAGACCACAACTTGCGGCCTTAGATCGACTTCTTACATCGCTGCATTACCTCA